GTTTTGTTTTCCATTTGTTTCAACGTCATCAGCATTCATTACCATACCCCAAAACAAAAGAAAAGCAAAAATTACCTGAGATAAAAAACTAACTTTCAAAACACCTTCAAATGAGATAAACGATGAAAAATTAAACACAAGCTTGCTGAGCTAATTTAGGACGTCCTGCTTGGTGGTACTATTTTCTTAGCTTATACCAATCAAAACGAATAGACAATTTTCAAGAATAAAAACCACTCCTGTTTGGTCATCCTTGGATTTCAAATGTCAAACCAGAAAAAGGGTTTTACACTTCCCTATCACTGTTATACCTGAGTACTCCCTGCTGTAGAGTGTCTCCCTGGCAAGACATTCTTAGGTGAGTACAACAACAAGGTATGAATTAAACTATCTTTGTTCAGCAGTCCCCAGCTGGTAGGAAAAAGCTTAGCAAGGTATGTTCTACAATGTAACAATAACAAGCTGCATGTCATGTAGTAATACATGCAAGCAACTGCTGACATAGTTTAGGATGTCCTGCTAGGCGGTACTATTTCCTTAAATAATACAAGCCAAATGGACAAGGCGTTTTTTACGATAAAAAAAACATTCCTGTTTAGTTACCCTGGCCTTTTGGAAACCTAAAGAATGACCGTTTAGCATATAAAAAACCCAGATATGATATACCTCCTAACAAATGTTGCTAAAACTCAGGATGTCCCACTGGAAGGTACCATTTTCTCCGGTAATACCGGCCAAAAGGACAGGGTCACTTTTATGAATAAAAATATTCCTATACAGTTATCCTAAGCTTTCTCGATCTAATCTCCAAGCAAGGGAGACTGAATCCCGCCGTAAGCGCGTTCTTGTCTCATATCAAATCATGGAACGACGTTAAGGTCCCTAAATAAAGGCCCCGAGGGGATGTCTCATTTTTTGTCTAGGATTACTCTGGCGCATCGTTTCTGTAAATTGATTGCGTCTTGGACGTGGAGCTTCGGTTTGCTTCATGTCCCCAAGACAATAACCCGCGTAGTCAAGTATTAACTGGATAAGTGAGTTGTAAAACAAACTTCTCAGCTTTCAGTCACAGAAATGTATCTGTTCTTTTCAAAAGGCGAAGTCGCTTTCCCATATTCGATACCGCTGTTTAAAAACAGTTGTCTATCTTTATGCCAGGTAGTTTAGTATCGGGTACAGAATCAAGCTGAACCTCAACTGTTCTCACATTAAGATTTCTGCCGTTCAAGCAGTTAGCCCCAAACTTGTGCTGTAGACAATCGCTTACAGGGACGAGAATCATCAGCAAACGCAAACGCAAACACAGCTTACGTATATGCTTCTGGGAACGAAAACTCGAACTTACCCTATGTGGAAGACGAGCTCAGAGCACTAGCCTAATCACCAATTAACCGACTGCTGCTTCAGCCACGAACACTGAGATACACTTTGGAGAACAGAAGTAGTTGATTATGTATACTGAAGAGGAAGCAGCGTACTTACCACGGAAACTACGAGGTACTGTTCACTGTGACGCAACCAACCGTCAAATGAAAGTTATGCTGCTTGTTAGCTCTAATCAATGGTCAATTTTCTGTACGAGTCATAGAACCGTGAAATCTCGACATTTTGACACTTTTCCAATAGTGAGGTAATGAACCGTTCACCCGCTAGATCATTCTTTCTGTTGACATTTGCTTGAAAAAACGATCTTTGATCCTAGCGCACTTGTAAAACGGATTAAGGATAAGAAGGCAGTCTTTGCCAAATCACTGATATCGTATCAGAGAATTATAGTTTTTGTTTGATATTAGTCAAAAGTAAATCAAGTGCGGTAAACTGAAGCTACAGTCCAGTTCAGAACATCAGGTTAAACTTTCAAAGCTATTCCCGGCGTTGGTTAGCATTGGTCACCCAGTGAAGGCCCATACATAATGAAGACCGCAAGAAAAGGATGGACGGTTTGGAGTATTTCTAGAGTCGGGGGTATTCATTTTTAGAGCCTATTAAAAGCCATCTGTGCAAGACTTTAAAAAAGCCATCGCTTATGATTTTTCCAAAAAAATCATTAAATAGTTTGGAAATGAATAAACCGACGATGAATGGCGAGATTTTGAATTTTAGTTCAGACGTCACATTCCCATGAGTTTAGAAAAAGACACGTCATTCATGTTCAATGAACTAGGAATGGACCCGAATGACGCAGGTGTTTTGTAGGAATAAACTTCCTTCGTGGAAACAATCATATCGCTGGGCCGAAAAGTCCCAAGTACATATATACTCAACGACTTGCTATTTCATTGACTTATTCTAGTTTTGGCTTTAAACTAGGGGTTTTTCCTACTCATAATTCCGAATAGATTGGCATCTCTGCGGTAGCAGTCACCTGAGTTTGACGTTTGGGAGCCAGTTGCATAAATCTCAACGTGAGACACACTAGCTAATCCCTATTTCAAACAGAACAAATTATTAGCTAGAAATGCTCTACTTTTTTCACAACTCTTGAATAATTCTATCTCGTTCCAAATGCGCATACTTCTTCAGTTTTCAAAGAATTGACAAAAGTAAATAGAAATAATTTCTATTTACTTTTTCTGTTGAAAAACGACTCATCTTTTCCACAACCTTAACCCGAGCCTTTAATACGCCGATGGAATGCAGACGAAAGGGGGTTTAAAGCGATCAAACAAGGACTAAATTTCCTCTAACTACTAGAAAGTATAGCGGAAAGCGGCCAGAGAAGTCAGAGAAAGCGTTTCGTCGTGCGGAAAAGATCTGGAAAAGGTACTTGGTCGTGGATTACTGATGAATTGGGGAAAATTAAAATGAGGGATTCGTTCGAGAAGCAATATCGTATGATTTCCTGACGGTGGCGGATGACCGTCGAGTCAGAAACTCGGGCATTCACGTAGTTGTTGACTCATGTATTAGCTTAAATGATTTTAATTGAGGGTCGCTGACTGGATTCAGCTGTACGGTGATGCTCTTCAGTCCTTTTCAATTTTCTAAACATCAGCCGAAGCGGGTAAGTCTATTTTGGGTTCCTTTGTATCGTCTTCAAATGGATACCTATTATTATTTTAGCACAAAAACGTGTTAAGGTCGACGCCGATCACTCGATGATTTTATAAATTCTCAGTAACTGCTAATTGTGTGAAAGTGTAATGTTCATGGAGAATGTTGATGGAGATCACTATTTCTTAAGCCTGATCGCGCTGAAACAGTTCAGTTCAGTCACAGTTCAGTTTTTAAGTGTGGATCGTAGTGGATATTTTTACACTGATTAAATCTGTGAAGTTAATTGTTTTAAGGGTATGAGGAGTAGCCAAATGAATAAGAGATTTTTAGTAAACAAAGTAATTGCACTTTTGAGCTTTGGTCAAACTCAGGTGGTTGTGAGTTTTAGGTTTGATTTTTAAACTATCTTGTTTGTGTTTTTGCGGTGACTCGAATCTTAGTTTGAAATGCCTGTATTTGTTTTTTTTTTAAAGTTAATGATGAGAATTTGTGCTTTAATTGAAATCGAGTTTTTTTTCTTATGCCATGATTTAAAGGTACTTGAAGTTATTCATAACTTGTGATCAATAATAGATGGTGTAATTGTTAAGAACTTCCTTGAATGCATTTTAGTGTTGTTGAGAGAAGATGGTGATGACCAGCCTTTAATTTTACAAACAAAACTAATCCTAAAGGAAACATTGATGATAGTGCATGTCCAGCATTAAGTAAAACAGTTTGGCCTTCCTGGTACAGAGCAGCTTAGCCTTTTTAGGCGGTGGCTCTGGGAGAATTTTATTAGCCTGCGTAGCAAGCGTTTCCGTGCTGTTTCGGAGCAAAGAAAGACCGAGGAACAAGATTCTGGGACCAAAAAATTCCTTTCTTCCCCACCCCCTCCCCGCTTACTCGCGCCATTTTTCGTGCGGTCTTTGCTCCGAAACAGCACGGATTTGCTTTATTTATGGAAAGTGAGTGTATCGCGGAGTTGAATCCCTCTGCAAGTTGTTGACCGTTAACAAGGTGCCTTTTGATTTACCAACAAACGAGTGCAAATCAAAATACTGTCCATCTAAAAACTGGTTTCATCTGAAAGTTTAGTCGGGAATGACTTTTCTGAACGGGGTACGCAAGCGGAGGCTCACTGCGAAAGAAACCTAAGTCGCCAACTGTGAAACCAGGAAAACTGGTGTCCTCGCTCGTTGGCTGTTTGCTTTTGTTTTCAAAGATTTATGTACTGAAAATCGGGTAAAATTGCCGAGGAAAATATTAAGGGAACAGAAAAATAGAAATTTCCGTATTTTAAATTCGAGAGCGCCTAGCCAAAATGAAACTAGTAAAACATCGTGTCGCCGTCTTTTCGAAAACTTTTTACCTCGTCTCGATCTTACAGTAAACTTTTACCACGAACATTTTATCGACCCGACTAACTGCCCCTGGGTCTCCGAGGATGGTTTGTATCAGGCTCTCTTTTCGTTTCGCCTAGCCCGCCGGAATGTAATTTTCAAAGCGAAACGAAAATAGAGCCTGATCTCAGGTTAAATCGAACGAAAACTTAAAGCTCTCTCAATGACGGGCCAGAAATGACTGGCCAGAACAAGCCACAATTGCCAGAGACCGTTGTATATTACAGCTACCAAGAATAAACGGCTTCTGATTAAAGAAAATGTATTTTTGGACTTATTTGCCATGGTTTTTGAAGAGCACAATTTAAAAAAAAAGTAGCATAATTTGGAAAAACGAGCATAATTTGGCTAAAAAAAGAGCAGTTCTACTGTAACCTGAGATCAGGCTCTATTTTCGTTTCGCTTTGAAAATTTAGAATGTATGAGAACCGCTAAAATTGGGCCTGATCTCAGGTTTAGTTCTCCTGGTACAAACGCGTGCTCTCCGGAGGAGAGAGGACTGAAAACTAGGAAGCGTTCTCTGTTCAAAGATGAGCCCGCGATGACTTCCCGTCCTGCTTTGTCGTGCCACGTCTCCATTTTGAAGATCACCATTTTGGCGAAATTTTTCGGTTTTGGGAGACAAAATGCAGTATTTACGGCGAGACAAGAAAGACGAGGAAGACGGTAAGGAATTTATTTTTATATTCTTGTCTTTTCTGCTCGAGTGAAACGAGAGTAACGCGAAGTTCTCTCCTGTGTTAGGACCTCAATCGAACCCGTTTCAAAACCTTGACAAGAGTGCAGTTTTACAAGAGGTGAGCTTAAAGCTTGATCATAACTAGTTAATGCTGAATAAATTGAGGGATTTTAACGGTTTTTGACTGTTAATATATGCTTGAGAATTTTTCACTTTGAATAGGCTCGCACGTTCAACGAAACTCCGATTAATCCACGAAAATGCATCCATATTCTCACCAAGATTCTGTACGTCCTCAATCAGGTTGGTGAATTTCATATTAAATCAAAATGTTTAATTTTGTTTAACTTTCCAGTTCCATTAATCAAATTCAAAGCTGAAGTGCGACCTTGGGTGGTTATGATTCGTTTCTCTGAACAATTGTCGTTTACCTTTAAATAAACTCAAGTCCTTTAGCAATAATACAGATACTTCCATGATTATACTTGTAAATAAAAAAATTAAGCTTATTTTATTTGAATATAAGCAGACCTACAAATAACTGCTGGTCATCATCAGATAATGCTGCAAGACTGAACTGGTTAAAATACCACAGACTATCATTTTAACAAGGCTTCTAACATTTTACGTGACCCATGAAATTTAGGTAAGGGAAAGTTCTTAAAATATGACAAGGGGGGGATGAAGATATTGAGGGGGGCTCCAAAATTTTTAGACACTGAGGGGGGCTTTTAAGGGGGCTCGAAAATTTGTATACTTCAAAACCAACACATGACATCATCATACAGATCAGATGGTTTTCAACTCAACAATTAATTTTAATGACCTGTGCAACTCAGCTATATCACGTGGTTTACAGATATAACAAATGTAGTCTCAGTAATTATTACACTCTTGTTCATCCTAAAGATGCTTTAGAAAATTGTATCACAACTGTATCTCAAGTTTGTCATAGTATAAACCATTGAAGACAATAACGGTAAATATATTTAATACAGTCTAGCGATCTTTTTCGGGCTCTGAAATTTTTTTCGACTACCAAGGAGGGGCTCTAAAAAATTGAACCGGTTAGTTTAGGGGGCTGCTAAAATTTCAAGCTTCGAGTTTCAATACCTTCATCCCCCCCCCTTGTCATATTAAATGAACTTTCCCTAAATCCGCAAAATCCTGTGAAATTCACAAGAGCACAGGAAATATTATTTTTAACGCAGTCAAATCCCACAAGCAACCACCTGAAATGCAAAGATTTTATGGTTGCTCATGAACCATGGTCTTGTAAGAGAATTGATCCACTTCCAGGGACCTCTTCCAAACCAGGCTAGATTGAAACCATTCTAACCTGAATTTCCTTTATTAAAACTCCTATCTGAGAATGTATAACATTATGGAACTGTAAGTTTCTCCTAAGAGTTGTTATTTATTTACTCTCAGGGACAGCATCTTGGTACAACAGAAGCTACAGAAGCTTTCTTTGCTATGACTAAGCTGTTTCAGTCGAAAGATGTAAGTTGCGTTTGTAAAAGCTCCTTCATAAAAGGGAGAGATGTACTTGAATGCCCTTCATGTCATAACAGTAATACCCAGTTAGTCCTATAATACTAAACTCTCCAGGGTTGATGGAACGGCCTGGGTGGGCAGAAAAAGGACTGGGCCCATTTCTCAAAAGTCCCGAAAATTTACAGGCTAAGAAAGCTGTTGTTGTTGACATTCAATAAGGATACCAGGTAAATACAACAAGTAGGCAGGGAGTAAAACTGCTAAGGATTTCTTTTGGTTCTATTTTTCTTATATTTTCCTCTGAAAATAGCCGGGGGTCATGTTCACAGTAGGCGGGGGAAATCCCTTTCTCCTGTCTCTTAATGACAGTTTTCATTCAAGATCAAGGTTTCAATAGTTTTCCAGATATGATAAAAATATCAGTTAACAACAAGAAAAAAATGGTCTAATTTGTTAGATAGGACCTTTACTTTTATTCTCATAATTATTATTATTTTGATTTAAATACTGTATTTTGCCCGAAAAGTTACCGGAACTTTTGAGAAGTGGGCCTTAGAAGTTACTTGTTTATTTTGGAGTATTTACTTAAGTAGTAATAAAACCTGTGATATTTTAACCCCTTTTCTTGCAATAAAACTGTGAAAAATTTAATTTTTGTTGGTGTCCAAGAAAAGTGGGTAACAAAGTTATCTTGGAGGGAAAAGTCGATAATTGAAACAGCAATTTTCTAAAAAAGATAGATCATGGCCTCAGTAACAAGATAACATAATGTTCAATCTTTCCATATTTGCCAGAAAACAAGAAAAGGTTTTCATGATAAAATTTGATTTTAGCACTACAACTAAAAGCCAGATGTCAATTTAATAAAATGTTTACGAGTGTTTTTTACAAGTATAGAAGTTTTATAAAATTGACCCCAGAAATGACTTACTGTAGAAAGAAAAACTTAGTGTCTGTTCCTTTGGGATGATCAGGATCAGGACCATTGATACATGAGCACTCAGGTTTGACTGGGATCATGGTGCATCAAATAAAGTGATGACTCATTTCCCAGGGTAGATTCATCGATTCCTTTGATTTGGTATGGTCCAAGATCCAAGTGATCCTAGATCACAATTTCCTGATCTGGATCATCCCAATGGATTGCACCCTTAATTGCAAGATTTTCTCAATGTCACTATCAGGTTCAGGAATGTTTTTTTGTTGTTGTTATTTTCCATTATGACGGTGGGAAATGTCATAATTATTATTGCTTTAGCTTAGGATGCTTACAGCTGTAATGTAATAATAAATTGTGTTTCAATTAGGTGATGCTGCGTAGAATGGTGTACTTGGCAATCAAAGAATTAGCCAACATTGCTGAGGATGTCATTATTGTAACAAGCAGGTACTGGATCGCAATATCATAAGTTGACCCTACAGAGTTACTATTAAAAAGCACCACATGGTTTGATTACATTGGGATGTTGTTTTGCCTAAATGCAATTGAACCTCTCTAAAACAGCCTCCTTGGGGACAGAAGAACGTCAGCATTAAATAGAAAATAGAGGAGGCTGTTGTGATAAGGCTTAAAGAAGAGTCATTGGATGGACTGCCCCCAAAAACCCCCCCCCCCCCCCGCTAAAAAGTGGCTGTTATAGAGAGGTGGCCATTGTGGATAGTTGGCTGTTAGTGGAGGTTCGACAGTGTTTTGAGTTCATGTGTGCTTAAGTCAATAAGCACGTGCCAAAAATTGTCCAGTAGCTAATACTGTCTGAGGCACATATTGATTAAATTAATGATTGATTTTATTTTCTGTAACAACCCTTTATTATTATAAGGCTTTTTTACGTGGACCAAAAATTATTTGTTCCTGTTGAATGCTTGTATGTTATAGGTCAAATTTGATTTCAGGTTTCATTTGTAACTTAGGTTGATTTTCATTTTCTTTTGTCTCTAGGGAAGAGACAAAGGAAATTGTGAATCAACCTGGGTTAAATCAAAATTACATTGTAACCTTAAATCAAATTTGACCTGTAACAAATACAACCTGCCTGAACACACGAGCTTCAATTCAGTTGTAAATTGTTTTAGATATACTGGTATGCATAGTTTTATAGCAATGTCAAGACTTACTCTGCCATACAATCATTACAATGTTTTTCTTACTGTGTCAGTCTACATAACCTTCTGAGAGGCACTAGCACCTCACTTTTTTCTTTATTCTCTCAACTTTATGTTTTACTGAAAGTTGTATCTTTCTACAGCTTGACAAAGGATATGACTGGAAAGGTAACATTTTGCGTTAAAATGAGTTGTTGTTGCTGTTGTTTTTGTCATGCTTACGGTGAATTTTTGCTCATCAATTTGAGACAGTTTGAAGTTGGTTACAATAATTTATTATTTTCTAACAGTAGAAAAATTTTTGTCCCATTTTAGGAGGAATTGTATCGTGCCAGTGCCATAAGGGCCCTTTGTAAAATAACTGACGTAAGTTAATACAAATAAGACATTGTTACAACTCAATTCAAAATTTCCCTCAATACTTGTATAGCTCTGCACAATAGGCGTAGGCACAGTCAGTTAGTTTGTGGCCTTCTGTGCAAGAGGTACATGTACCTATATGCAGTCCTAGGTGTTGTCTCAAATCCTTGTTTCCGCTTGTCTCCTTTTTGGGTAGCTTTAAAGGCTGGTTTTCACTTGCGATGGAGTTGGAGTCGTAAACAGAGTCATAATCGCAACGGAATCCGAGTCAAAAGAATCAGAACATTTCCATTTTCTTTCGACTCTGCTTACATCTCTGTCACTTCCGTTCCGCTTATGATCGACATCATCTAGTGAAAACCAGATTGTTGGATTCGGAAGCAGAAGTGGTAACGATAAACCAATCACAATGCACATTTTTCTAATTCCCGAGCTTTGTGATTGGTTTAGTTCTTCCGCTTCTGCTTGTGACTCTGATGACCCAGTTTTCACTTTATTGTAAACGACGGAGTCGCAAGTGGAATCGGAAGAATCAGAACACTGTTTTCCCTAGATCGTAAAGTTCTACACGTCTGATTACAACTCCAACTCCCACTCCTTTGCTAGTGAAAACCAGCATTTAGTAGCTTTTAATAATATTATAAAACGGAGCACTGATGATGACCAGCATTGGTTTGAGGTTAACTTTTCATGAATTACATTTAGCCGCAGAAAAATTGAAGCTTCTGTTAATATTCATTTGCATTGTCTTTCCTATGGTAACTTGTAGAGCACCATGTTGCAAGGTATTGAACGATATCTGAAACAGGCAATTGTGGACAAAAATGCCAGTGTGTCAAGTGCATCCTTGGTCTCAGCTCTGGTGAGTGTTTCTGTTCAAGTGGGTACAGTTGTGATAGAAAGCAGTGGAAGTGAGGCAAAAACCAGTTATTTTGATTGGGCCACATGCTGTTTGGTGCCTTAACAATGACCTCTGGCTTACTGAGGAAGTGGCCTTATTAAAAGTCGAAGTTCACATGTGCTAAATTTTATGCTTAGTAAAATCTAGTGTTCTTGCTTATTTGTAACATGTCTCAGCATCACAGCCACACTCTTGTATTGTGTCTGTGATCTATTCATAACCAAGAATTCAAGAACTCCAACTTGCTGATCAGTACTCATATTATCCCCCCAAAATGGTAGCATTCAGTCCTTAATCTAATCTCAGAACTCAGCATTGCACTATCTAATGTTACAGACATTTCCTTCTGTTAGTGGGAACAGGTGGTACATATACACACACCACTATACTCTAGGGCTGTATCAAGACCAGTGTGTAACAGGATACGCAGTAATGCGTAGAGTATCAGGGGTGATAAAAGCAGAAAGTTAAAATTGCTTTAACATTATTTTCACTGTCTGATGTAGTTCATTATTATTCTCATAGCATCTGATGAAGCCAAACTATGATGTGGTGAAACGCTGGGTAAATGAAGCACAGGAGGCTGTGTCCAGTGATAACACTATGGTTCAGGTAGGGAGATGGTATGAATACTCTGCCGATAATGACTTTTAAAATGTACGTAATTTGTAGAGGATATTATTACAAGGTTTTATGGAAATACAAAATTTCTCTTGAACACAAGAGGGAAAAATTCATAATTATCTCCAAGTGGCCATACAATGTTCAGTCTATGGTAAGCCCCCTTTCTCTAGAACTTTCTAACAATTTAAAAATTAAAGGATTCTTTGACTTCAATGAAAACTTTCATTGGTTGTAATACTTTTGTAATACTTTTTATCTTTTCTGCCTTTCCATCTGTAGTACCATGCTCTTGGTCTCTTGTACCATGTGAAGAAGACTGATCGCCTGGCTGTATCTAAACTCATATTCAAGTACATCAAACAGTCTCTGAGATCACCTTATGCTGTCTGCATGCTGGTATGTGCAATAATTATAAACAAACTAATTCAAGGAAATGTTCATTGAAATGTAAAAGATGAACAAAAGTGCCATGTTTTCTATGGAGTTGTTTTCCAAACATCTCAGCCCTGGCCCTTCATCAGTGAAATGACAAGTGCAATGTACTACATGTCAGAACCAGTTCAAAGTTTGGATACAGCACTTTTGTACACATTTTACTAGTCAAACACAGCTCACTGGAGGTTTTTCTGCATTAGTTTTGAATTTACTGCCATATTACTAGACCAGAATAGTTTGCGAAGGTGACAACAAATATAGGAAAAATATATTGTCTTTGGTGTATTTATTTGTTGTAGATCCGCATTGCATCCAAGTATCTTGATGAGGAGCCTGAAGTGTGAGTACAAGACTATTATACAAATAATATTACTGCTATTCATTGTGCAAGTACATTATTTTTTCTGTTGGAGGGTGGTGGGGGGATATCTTAAAAGTGAGTTTGTTTTATGGCATTTCTTAGGGTTTTACGGGGTAAAAGAATAGTGAATGGCAGTTCAGTTCTTCTTTATTTAGTAGTTTATTTTTTTCAATGGACAAAAGAAACAGCATGGGAAATATTATTGCATCACTATCAAAAGCCCACTGTAAAGGAAGCAAACAGATTATTAAGGAAGAATGCACTCTTAAGATAACTGTTTTCTTGAAGGTTTGTGCATTTTTTGATGTTATGTTTTGTTCTGTTATTTCAGCGCGGACAGCCCTCTTTATGATTTCTTAGAAAGCTGCCTAAGGCACAAGAGTGAGGTAGTGTATATATTCCATCCTTCTTTCATTCTTTTATTCTCCATTATATAGTGGCAAGCTTAAAGATGCACGTAACTGCCAAACTCATTGTGGAAAATGTAAGAATTTCAAATGGTCTTGTACCAAGGTCACATTAACATACTCACCCCTTACCAGGAGATTAATTTTGGTTTAAAGTAGCTTGCTTAAGTGCCATCCACTGACTGAAATGTGTTTCAACATCTTTATCCTTTTTCTTACACTGCAATAAAAATTACAAGGCATATTGATTTGAACAACTTCCTAGAATAATGAAAAAGACAATTTTTGTTTGAAGAAAAAAGAAAGAATTTATTATTATTACCATGTTGCATTTACAGATGGTGATCTACGAAGCTGCCCGAGCACTGGTAAACCTAAAGAACCTCAAGTCACGGGATTTGTGCCCTGCAATTTCCGGTTAGTACGTTAGAAAGTTGTTTATGATAAATTGTTACTAGCAGATATACATGTTAGAACACGTAGGGCTTGTGTGTAACCGTTGGATGTATTCCCATAATTTTGTAGCACTTCGTGTCATAATGAGGTCTTAACTTAAGATACAAAAGTTAAATGTACTTTATGATCCTGAAATTATATATTTTTTGATTGCTTTCCACAGTGTTACAACTTTTCCTTAGTTCACCACGCCCTACACTGAGGTTTGCTGCTGTTCGCACCTTGAACAAAGTTGCTATGACACAGCCCATGTCTGTTACAACCTGCAACTTGGATCTTGAAAATTTGATCACAGATGTTAACCGTAGCATCGCTACCCTGGCAATTACTACACTCCTGAAGGTTAGTTTTTTTCTTCATGCATTGTCGTACACCTGATAAAAGACTGATAATTTCTTAGAGCCACCAAAAATCATGTAACCTGTTAATTCTGTGAATAACAAGCAAAGAAAATGTCCTTATCCAGGTTGCCCAGCAGTAATCAGGGCTGTCACTTAAGGGCTAAAGGTCAGGGATTTGCCCTGGCTACTACGTTAAGAGCATGACTCCCAGCTACTATATATAGTAGGAAACAAAAGGAAAATAGGCCAAAAAGAACATCCTAAGCTGCCCAATTCCCTGCCTGTTAATAAACAATAAATAAATAATGAAGAGCTGGGTTGAAAACTCTGCTAAGTGGAAAATTTTGTCTGCACTATTTTTTCCTTAGACATGCACAAATATTTGCATCTGGTTTTGATTCAATAGAAAAACATGATCCTGTATTTTTTTTCACCCTTTCCTGCATCCTGTTAAAAAAAAAAACATGCAAAAAATGTGGTGGTGTTCAGTGCAGTACAAAAGAAACCAATAAAGCTGTTTGTTTCAATAAATTTAATGAAGTAATACAAAGCAGAGTTAATACGAATACCAAAGTTACCTACATTATGTAGTTCTTTAAAGACACTAAATTGTGGAAGTCGAACTATAAATCCAAAAACTTAAAATATTAGTGACAAACCTGTGCATGTATACTGTAATTACAGAAAAGATTAAGAGGGACTGTAATGTTATTGAAGAATTTGTGTATTCTTTTGCACTGTAGACTGGCAATGAGAGCAGTGTCGATCGTCTTATGAAGCAGATCTCATCCTTCATGTCAGAGATCTCTGATGAGTTCAAGATTGTTGTGGTTGATGCAATCAGGTTAGCTTTCAAATTAATCAAGGTCAACTTTTGGCCAACAGGTCATGCCACCTTCCTTTGATTTTATTTACTTACAGCTAAAGTGGTTCGAAATATCTTTGATTTTTGCAGGTCCTTGTGTCTGAAGTTTCCCAGAAAACACCATGTGATGATGAACTTCTTGTCTTCAATGCTCAGAGATGAGGTCAGTAAAATGGTTTATGATTGGTTTATTATTTTTCTAAGTATTGTTATCTTCTTTTCCTCTTAACATTTAGCCTTTATTAATACTTCGCTTTTACATTGTTAACATTAGATGAGAAAATTTTGTTGCCTAATCATACATATTTTTTGCAGTAAAATTAATATGCGTTTTTATTGGTATAAATTATTGTCAAAAAGACATCTGTAAAGACTGATGAAACAATATTCTGACTGGCCTATACCAGTCTTCATCAGGTTTATTAGGACAAATCAAAAAACGTGAAATTAAGTACCAATAAGGTCCCATGAAATTCACACACAGAGTAATTATTATAGTGACAGTGATATGATAATATCATTGGAATGTTGTTTCAGGGTGGATTTGACTACAAGAAAGCCATTGTTGATACAATCATCACCATTATTGAGGAGAATACAGAAGCCAAAGAAGCAGGTACATTCACAATAATTTTCCCCTCCCTCTCTCTATTGTCCCTAAGAAGGGCTATTTTTTGATTGACAACTAAATCCAGGGTAACTGCAACAATTTTTTTTAAACGTTTAATGCTATTTTTTGTTATACAGGATTGGGCCATCTGTGTGAGTTCATTGAAGACTGTGAACATACAGTCCTTGCCACTAAAATCCTGCATCTCCTAGGACGGGAAGGACCTCGCAGCCAGAACCCATCCAAATACATCCGCTTCATCTACAACAGAGTCATCCTAGAGAATGCTGCAGTCAGAGCTGGTTAGACATTAGTTGTTGTTTGTTGATCACACAAGATTGCATCGTCAAGTGTATTTCTAGATATGTTCTATGTGCTACAAAGATCAGAGTGACTTGCTATGTACTCAAAATATGATCATTCATTTGAAAATCCCACATATCAACCGCGCACATGCACCAGGAAACCTAACAGACGGTCCACAGTTAACCCATGTTGCATTGCCTCAACTTTAACTTTGCGAAAAATATATTCAGCTAAATCAGAACTGTTCAAATTTGGGTCGGGATTGTCAAACGCCATTTTTGCAAGAACTCAGCACATTTCCTTGTCCGGTTTCTCTTCCATGCTGCTCCTTTTTTATGCGAAATGATTCTTAACAGATTTAAGGAATTAATTCAGAAACCTCGAGGTTCCTGTACCCCTAAGCTCCAATATTAATGATGACTCTCCTTACCATTGCCATTTGTTGAAGTGTGAGTCAATAAAGATTGTTGTCCTGGTTGTTGTTGTATAGTGAATACTTTGGTTTGACCTGAAAGTGCTGCCAGACTACTTTCATCTTTAACTTGGTTTATTTTGCTTTGTTTTATACACTCCGTGCCTAAATGTTACACAATTCTCTTTTTTAGCTGCCGTGACATCTCTTGCCAAGTTTGGAGCTCACTGTGATAGCCTGTGCTCTAGTATCTTAGTCCTGCTGTCAAGGTTAGTGTTTTACTTTCTCCACTTGGCTTGACTTTGTTTAGTAATGACACTTATGTTGACTCAGTGACTTGTTTCCTAGCATACCTGTATTTTCAACTTATCTCTCGAAAACTGTTTTTGATGTTGACACCCCTGGGCCTGTAAGCGTTAATGTATCAAGTGCCACACTAGTCGGCCATTGACCAGCTTGTTTTATCAAATGTGTTGTTGATTCTCTTATGAGGAAAACATTGGCCCCAATTTTTCAAGTTTCAATTTATGTCCATTCTTGCCATCCATAGCAACAGACAACTGGAAATAGTTTTAATGTCTGAATATTTTCTTAAATAAAGAAATCAGGGCCGTCATTTGTAGAATTCAATTGAAGCAAAAAAAAAAAAAAAAATTTTGGAACTAGCTATTTAAAAAGTGATAGCAAATCGTGTGACATAATAGCATAAACCCTTTAAGCCTTTTCATGTCATTGTACTTCTATCTTAGGTGTCTTTTGGATACTGATGATGAAGTGAGAGACAGGGCCACATTTTATGTGAATATTCTCAAGGAGAAAGAAAAAGCTTTGTCATCTGGCTACATTTTGAATGGTTGGTTTATTAAAGTTCTCACTAATCAACTTGAGAAAATAGAGTTTCTATTCCAAAATTTTAGGAAAGATGACCAATGTGTGTTCATAACCATAATAGCAGCATGTATATTTAATCTGCATATTTAATTCTTGTGGTGATATTAAGAAGGTGTAAGAAAAGCAAAAGAAGCGGGAAGGAGGGAAAGCAAGAAGAGAGGATAGTTTCAATTTTAAACCCAAAGAAATACGTACATACATACTTTATTGTTACCTCCCCAAAGGGGCTTTTCAGGAACAATGATTATTGAAAAGCATTACATTATTTATGATAACCAATTAAAACACTCAACTTAATACTATAATTATAATTACAATGCTAGCTAATTACTAGTAATTACAATGTTCTTAAACTTAACTAAGAAGTTTTTAGAAAATTATCTAAAAGCTGGTTCGTTAAGGAACCTTTGAAACTTTTAACAGATTGTCTTCATTTAAGAAAAGGGTCCAAATTGTTCCAAAGTTTAACAGTCCTGTAGTAAAAGGTTCTCTGCCCAGAGGCTATTCTGAAAAGAGGGATGTTTAGCTTTTGGCTACTCCAAGTTGTTCGTTCGCTAACTTGCTCACGGGTTATAAATCTTGCATGGTTGCCACAAGTCAGGAAAGGTCAGGGTGGAAAATTTCTTCAAGGTCAGGGAAAAGTCAGGGAATTTCACTTTGAGCCAGGGAAAATGACTGTCTTTGAAAGAAGTCACTGAAAAGTGAAATTTGAGAGAACATATTCTTTTCCTGTACTCTTTTTGATTTCTAACATTTAAAATTCTTTTGTACGTTCTTTTGACATGAATCATGTTAGATTGGTAGAATGTTGTTTATGAAATTGAACGACAAGCTGGGTTTTTCAAGAAAATCAATCCTTTTTGCACGTTATGTTAAGGAACTATCAATTCATGTGCACTGCATGTGACTTGCTGAAAGCATAGACAAATCGGTGGAGAGGATGGCTTTCAGGGGAGGGTTGAGCTCGGGGGGAGGGCTCCGCATATGAAAGGGCTGGGGATGCTCGTCGTCTCGCTTAGGGGTGTAAATTTCGGATTTTGGTCTCACTTAGGGTGTTCTAGGCAAAAGGCCATCATATTTAGCCGCGAAGGTCTCGTTTAGGGTTGCACTTGAAAAAATATGAAAATATGTGTATTGTCTGTGTTTTAACATGGTCTGTTTTAGGGGTAGAAAAAAAACTTGGGCTACGCCCAGATCGGTCTCTTTTAGGGGTTTAATTCAAAATTTCCGACGAGCATCCCCACCCCTTTCATATGCGGAGACCCCCCTCCCGGGGGTTGAGTCCATGATCAGGACTAATTTGTGAAATTGCTCATTCAGTTGGTTAGGGAAATTTTACATTTGCCATGAAAAAGTCAGGGAATTTCAAAAACTGCTGTCTGTGGCAACCATGTCTGGTTTTCTCAATAACTTCGAAAGCCAAAGCATCAGGGACAGAAGGCAGCTTTGTGCTGGACTTATAAACTGTGTTTTGGGCAGTTTTGCTTCTTTTTGGCCAGATAGTGACTAAAGAACGGCTCGATTAACTTCTAAAAATATTTTTGGACAAATTTTATTTTAGCGGTTGGTTTAACAGCCACCCTTTATCTTGATAATCATTTTTCTTTGTTCAGTCTGATTAGGCAATCGCATTATCGAGTGGAATTCTTCACTTCAGAACCCTTAAGGAGAACGGGTACAAGCGTTGGGAACAGTGATTTCAGGGATCGTTTTGGTGGACAAGTGCTAATTATGTTTGGTCGATGGTATTCAAGGCAACTATTAACCAATCATAAGTAACTCTTGTCCACCCATACGATCCAGAAATCTTTACATTGAAAGCTTGTACCCTTTTCCCTAAGGCTACGTGCAAACGGACGCAACAACTCCCAACATTGTTGGCGCAACAATGTTGGGAGTTGTTGTGTGCGTGTTGGCAGTGGTATGCAAACGGATGCAACAACTCCCGACAATGTTGGGACCTGCAGTGTATCGTGGGAAGGATACAACCCATAAGTCTTTGCAAACCATGCGTAATGAGCGTCCGTAGCCCTAACAATGTTGGAAGCGTAGCACAACAATGTTGGATCAAACGGATCCAACATTGTTGCGCTACGCTTCGGCGATCACGGAACAAAAGAAATGTTGGGAGTTGTTGGCTGAAAAGTTTGACCGGTTTCAAACTTTGCGCAACAAAATCCAACAACTTGCAACAGGGTGTGCAAACGGACAAAACTTGTGACATCCAACAATGTAGGAAGTTGTTGGTCAACAATGTTGCGTCCGTTTGCACGGGGTTTAATAGCTTTTGGAATGGGAAATAAGATGCTGGTCACTTTGTTGAATAGAAGCTGATATTTGTTTCTTTGCACTTTTCTAGGTCTTCAGGTGTCCATTGTGGGTTTGGAGAGAGCTCTGTATGCATATGTGAAGGATTCCTCTCACACGGCGCCATTTGACCTGAAGACAGTACCCCTGGCAACCACACCTATGCAGGACCAGGTGGTTAAACCAGGAAAAGCAGGTGAGATTGGAATACCCTACCCATTGCAAAAGCACGGCAATATCGACCCGCCCGTATATCCGTAGGCCTCCTAGATATAGTAGTGAGTTACACCGGGTTCGCACCCACCTTGAAAGTCCTTGAAAATTGTAGTCGGTGCTGGAAAATCCTTGAATTTCGGTGCTAACTTTATCCAATCCAGATTCTCAAGTGACTAAAAGGAGCAAACACAGAAAGACTTTTCAGGATAAAGTTACTCATGTTGTGGAAGAACTAAAAAAGACAAAACTCAAGTCTCTTTTTTGCACTGAATGGAGTCCTTGACACTGAGATGGGGGGAGGGGGAGGGGTCCTGTTCCCTCCACGACCCTCCCCTGGATCCGCCAGTGAGAGTGAATGTGGTGAGTTGATTTTGTTTGTTTTTTTTCCCCTGATATTCAGCTATTGAGACTCCGTCTGCTCCCACTAATGCTGCGGCTCCCGTGGCGGCCACAAGACAGGATGTGTATGCTGGTAAGTGAGAACCAAAGATCACAAATTCGAGAAATTACCAAATTTCGTTTGTTCACTCCGTTTTCATAAAATTGGCTGCTTCACTATTATACGAATTGTTCCTACAATGCTACGACGAAGATTTTAAGCGAATGTTTTACAGAAAAAGTGTTACTTTTCGCAAGTTTTCGGAAATACAATGAGTGTTCATGAGTAACCAAAGGTAATCGTAAAATAGTTTTCAGTGTATGTGCAAAGTTTTTATTAGCAAAACTGGAACTTTTTCCGTTGGTGTTAAGTTTTGTCTGTTGATTTATTTGTTTGTGTTCTTCCATATTACTTGCTAGTACCGCTTTAAAAATAATAAAAACTATTAGAGTGTGAAAGTACTCCTGAATACACGGGAGGTCTCATTTGAATGAGTAAGTACATCATACGAGTTTGTCCACACACTGAATGGATATATTAAGTTGGGCTATGTGAAACTACTCCTGAATACAGGGTTTCATTTGAAAGATTACACCGTACGAGTTTGTCCACAGACGCAACTACACACTGAATAAAATAGTATAGTAAATAGCATCGTGTGAAAGTACTGATTTGAATGATTACACCAAACGAGGACTTATATAGACGGACGAGTTAGAATTCTTTGTCTTCTCACTTGTCTTCATAATGCTCTTTAGGCCAGGGGCGAGAGGTTTGAATAGAATCATAACGATTGTTTTGCTGTTTATCCAGAACAACTTGCGGCGATTCCTCAGTTCTCTAAGCTTGGTGCCCTGTTCCGGTCTTCACCTAAGCCAGTGGAGCTAACAGAGTCAGAGACAGAATATGTGGTCAACTGTGTAAAACATGTCTTCAATGATCACATTGTCTTTCAGGTTAGTTCACTGAGCAGTGATTTTGGTACAAATAGTTATTAAGGTGAGTCCTGGGACTCATCTTGTGAAAAATCATGAGTCCCAGTCCAGAACCAATGAGCAGTCCGGAATATCCCTAAATTTAAGGACAGGGCCAACTGGTCACGCGACACTTTTCAACCAATGAGAAGGCGCGCTTGTGTTTATCAACAAACAAATCAAAACATCGCCCCAGTGATCAAAAATTTTTCAAAACAACGGACGGAGTCGGACAGAATCAGTCAACGTTTCGAGGATCTCAGGCATATTTTTAAGATGTTTCATGAGGCATACACAATTTTTTTAAGTGGACAGCGTATCGGAAGCCATATTGGAACTGTCTCGTGAAATATCCAGCACATTTTGTGGCTTATTCTTCTTTTATCTTTTAAACAACGCGATGTATAGGAGAGATTTTGGTCGGCTTTCAAGGTAGGTGAACAAGTATCTATTATTTTTTCGATTCACAGATTTTTTACGAAGTTCTAAATATTTTT